TAATAAAGCATTCGATCAAGTACACAAGCAACTAATAGAAGCGTTAGAACGAAAAAATCTCGATACAAGAGATATACAAATAATAGTAAAACTGTACCTCAATCAAAGTGCGTCGAAAATGATGCCCTCGAAAATGATGCTGGTGGAATACTAGTTAACGGCATACCTCTGAACAATTTGCGCTACGCTGTTGATAGAGTCCTTCTCGCTAAAAACATGCAAGACCTGCAGAATATGTTAAATAACGTCATCACAACTAGTCGAGAATATGGTCTGACACTCAATGTTAAGAAGACGAAATACATGATTGTCACTAAAACTGGAGTGCCCAATGAACATCTGTACGCGGAAGGCGAGGAGCTCGAAACAGTAGAGAGGTATGACTACCTGGTACAAGTGTCGACTGCACCGCGGATTATTGTTCAGAAATAAAGATTCGCATTGAAAAGGCCCGTGCATCCTTTGTGAAGATTAAGAATCTGCTCTGTAGCCGCGATTTGAGCCTAGATCTGAGAACTCGTATGCTCAAATGTTATGTATACCCAGTCCTTTTGTATGGTATGGAAGCTTGGACCCTCAACGAGCTTTGCGAGCGGAAACTGGAGGCCTTCGAGATGTGGACATACCGTAGGATGTTGAGAATACCATGGACAGAGCATGTAACCAACGTGGAGGTTCTGAGAAGAATGAGGGAGGGCGTAGAGATCCTCAAGGAAGTGAAAAAAAGAAAATTCCAATATCTCGGCCATATCATGAGAGGTCCAAGCTATAAGATTTTGCAACTCATAATCCAGGGAAAAATTGTAGGAAAAAGATCTGTTGGAAGGAGAAGAATATCCTGGCTCAGAAACCTGCGAAAATGGTTTAATGTCACGTCATCTAATCAAATCAAATCAAATCAAAATAGTTTATTTACTTTTTTTTAAACATTAATATACACAATAAACAAAGAGAAAAAATTAAGTAAATGGGACTGTGTCGCGATTATAAAAAAAACCGATACACAAAAACAAAAACAGTAAATGTTTTTGTGTCGCACAGCCCTGTAAATATTTAAAACAAATATACATGCATAAATGATACAAAGATTAATACAAAGAATTCAAAATAAAATACATAAAATATACTCAAATACAAAAAAGAGAATGCAATCAACGGGAATGACCAGGAGGAAGGCTAGGGCACCAGGGAAAAGTTAAATTAAGTTGAAATCATCAGGTTATTATTAAAATTAAAAACTAAAAGGCGACGAAAGCAGGCAGGCAGGTTAGTCACTCGTTTAAATTTCTAACGGTTTTGTTTTTGTTGTTCTAAATATATAGACTTGACACTATTTACAAATTTTTCCATATGAAAGCTCTTGAACGCATTTAGGAATCTGATGCCACAATTGAATCGCTACAAAGCTGAAAGATCTCTGAAATGCCGCAGTTCTGTGCTGGGGGACTTTGAAATTATTTACATTTCTGGTAAAATAAGAATGTTCATGAGAATTGAAAAGTGAATTTAAATAGGGTGGTTTTCCGGTTTTTAAAACTTTATAAATAAATGATAACATATGACATTTACGTCTATTGCACATTGATAATATAGAATTACTATTTAGGTATGGTGTAATGTGATGTCTATAGGGTATATTAAACGATGATAATTAAAAAAAATATTAATGATGTCTATAGGGTATATTCATCTGACCTATTTAGGGCCCCAGCTTCCAAGGTCAAAATAGCAATGATGATAGCCAACCTCCGATATGGAGACGGTACATAAAGAAGAAGAAGAAGAAGAAGAAGATTTCGATAAAAGAAACATATTTTCTCTTTATCGATTTTCAAATAAGTCCAAAATAACGGAGTTATTTTACTTTGAAAATTTCAAAAGAAAAAATGATTTTTTGCTAAAATTTTGAGAACCACTGGATCTTTTAATAATCTAATTTCCAAAAAAAATTCAAAAAATTTCGAATTTTCAATATTTTTTTTCGCGAAAAAATCCTCATAGGCGTGTTTCTGGGGTTGAACTTACTGCCAGTTAAAATCTGCCGTGAAAAGGTAAAACCTAGTAACCCGTTTTTTAGAAGTTTGCAGGGGATCGAATAGTATTTCAAGGTATCGCCATAAGAATAACAATAAAACTAGATTTTTGTTTTATAACTTTTAAGGGGTTTTGTAGCATGATTTTTTTGTATTTTCGGTTATTTTTCTCATATATACCGTATTTTAAAAAATATTGGACTTACTACTTTTTTTCTTAATGAGTCATGACATTTTATTATGGAAAAAAATAGTAAGTCAAGTTACTATTTATATATTAATAAAAAATATTAACTTTACAGAGGAAAAACGGTATAAAATATTCTACTAACTTTTTCCACATGTGACAACAACCAATAATTATTTTCTTATTTTACTTATATTGTTCTACAATGTTTTTCCAATTTAAGTTCCTTCCGCACTACTTATTTGGCGAGAAAAAATGATCGTTGGATAGACTTGCTAGGTTATTCCATTTGAATATTGGTTTCAACCAGTTGCATTTAATCAGCTGAATCCGTAACATCGCGTGGGTGGTCTAATGAGTGATTAGTGCTTAATTTGTTTTAAGTATGGAGGCTAAACAAAACATATCCCAGGGATTAAATGTTAACGCTGATAATAGGGAAAGATCAATTCCAACTAACAAAAAAGACTCTACCATTTTTAAACAACATATTAATTCATTTCAACCGCAAGTATTCCATTATAACATCTCGCACGTTCCTAACCGCAGATATTTATCCTCAGACTTGAATGTAACCCAAATGTGGAAAGATTTCTGCAAAAAATATGAACCTGTTTCATATGAAAAATACAGGCATGAATTCAATCTCGAGAATATTGGATTTGATCAACCTACTCAAGACGTCTGCGATGTTTGTACTTTGTGGAAAGAATACGAAAAAGATTGTAATAAAACTGATGAAGTTGGTACTGCTGCTTGTTCTGTCTGCATCATCTATAACATGCATCACGAATTAATTATACACGGAAGCAAGAATTGCCAATCAAGCCGATCATGACGGAAAGTTTGATCAATCTTACAGACTCTACTCTATAGACATGCAAAAAATATTGTTATTGCCAAAGATGTCCTTGAACTTCCGTTTTTATCAGCAGATTGATTATTTTCAATGAAACCTTTGTAGCTCTAAACAAGCCATTTGAGAATATCTGCGTTTCGTGGCACGAGGGTATTAGTGGCAGAAACGCAGAAGATGTTACTTCCAGCTACTGTGCAGTGATACAACGTACGTCTGCTGACATTAAAAATTACATATTTTGGTGCGATAACTGTAGCGCGCACAATAAAAACTGGAAGTTATACGCAGCACTAACATGCATTGTTAATGCCGAATGGGGCCCAAGATCGATAACACTAAAATATTTCGAAGCTGGACATACCTTTATGAAGGCCGACACAGTACATGGACAAATTGGTAAAGCATGGAAGAAAAAAATAATATTTATGATATTCACGATTTAAATGAATTAATACTTCAAACTTCTCGTCAAAATAAAACTTTATTACTAAACTGCAATGAGTTTTACCAGTTTAACTGAATTTTATCAGTTTAAAGAGGGCTGTCGATAAAGGCGCAAAAAAGATGAGGAACATTTTCCAAAGCTAAGCGATGTAAAAATAGTGGAGTTTAGAAAGAGGTCGAAAACCATGTTTTATAAAAAAAGGCACACAGACAGCGAGTTTTTGTCTTTCGATTTTTTAAGGCCGAAGTTTGATTTATCAATGCCTCAAACTAGACAATCTGATAGAGGTGTCAATGATGCGAAAAAACAAAAGATACTTACCGACTTGGTTTCAAAAATGCCTGCTCTAAAACGGATTTTTGGGGAAAATTTATCGACGAATCAAAATTAACATGAGTTAAATATATTGGTATATTTATATAGAGTTACAACAAAAACTGTTTCTTTGTCGTTCCGTAGACTTTCCTTTGTTAGACTTACTTGTTTATTTGACGTTCGTTAAAATGTAATGTTAAAACTGCTGAGTTACCATTTTTTTAGTAATAAACATGTTTTAATTAAAATATATTGATACTGCAGCTGCTGAGTTACCATTTTTACCAATATAAACATGTTTTATTTAAAATATTATATCGATTATGTTTTTTTTTCCTCAAAGTATGGGCCTGGTTGGTATGTAAATAGACTCAATACGTTTTACCCATTGCAAGAAGAATATTCATTTTTTTTACTTTAAAGTGGAAGAACTTGTAAGTTGATATAAGTTGATACACTAACGTCGAACCTAATTTAATTTCAATACAAAAATATGGAAATATCTAGTTAGTTGTTTTGCAAGATTTTTCCAATGTAATTTATTAAACTTTTGTTTGTGGTTACAATAGTAAAATAAATATACTAGTTTTTTCCATTTTAAACTCGACTTGCTACATTTTTCCTTTGGAAAAGGTAATATTTTTGGACTTACTAGGAATTTCCAAAGGCTGTAAAATATTTATTTTTTGGAATTAGGACACAAACGGCCTATCACCACAAAGGAAAAATATAGTAGATTCTGATGATAATAAAACCTAATTTTGACAGTAAGTGACTTACTAGGTTTTGCCTATGCACGGCAGAAATACTTGCACTTATTTCTGGGACACCCTGTATAATATATTTATAGTGATGTTCAATATAATATTTAGTTAATATATCTTAATCGTAAGTTGTATATCGATTATTAAGAACTAACCTAACACATTCAACATTCAAAAACACTTCCACAGAACGTAAATATGTTATAACGAACACAATCCTTAGAAATTTACAATATTATTGTTGTTGCCTGCAATTTTGCACTAAACTTTGTACGTGTAAACACAGACATTTACTGGAGCACTCTGGAACTTATTTTTTCATCTTTATTCCTTTCCTTCTCTCTGTCTACTAAACCTTTGCCTTCCGGCCATTAGCAAATGTTTTGTTTTTTCCCAGGGCCTACACGGACTCGAACACGACGTTTTCCTCTCTGTTCCCGCCGTTTTAGGAGCTGGGGGAATCAGTCATGCAGTATCCCAACCACTCAGCGACGACGAAAGAGAGAATCTCCACAAGGCAGCAACACTGATGGCTGAGGTCCAGAAAGGACTGAAGTTCTAAACAATGCTTGTTTGGCCGGATCTCCAACACTTTTGTCGAATTAGGCTGTTTTATAGGAACGAGACATTTTTGTTTATTAGTTGTTATTTTTGATGCAAGATGTCTCTCAAGTTCTATTCACGTAAAACCTAAACAACCAACAAGGAATATTCATACATATCAACGCAAAAAATGGATGGGGAATATTTAAGTTAATATATGTTTTTATATGCTTTCTTAATATTGTATTGTTTTCCTCTATTATAATTTTATAGTATTGATTTTAAGTATTATGCCAGATTGTATTTATATAAGCAATATTTTATTATTTATAATTTTTAGTTGCTAAGTATTAAGTAAAATAATTTACTAGAATTCCTGTCTGGTGAGCACAATTAACTGGTCTTATGCTTAAATTGTGACAATTTTGTGTGATAGGTGTTCGATATTTTTTTAATAATTCAGTATTATATCTTTATTTAAATGCATTTTTTAAATATGTTGCATTTCTTTAATTTAGTGTTTTTGGAATTTAAAATAGCAATTGTCATTGTTTTGCTGTGAGATTATTATATATATTTTTTTTATTTATTACATATTAGTTTACTTATAACATATTTTTGAAGCGTTTTTTTATTTTATATCTATGTATTATTTGAGAAATATATACATTAAATCTATTTTTCTCTCAAAGATGCTATTGTACTAAGCTCGAATATTTTAATAAAGATTTTTAACTGTGTTTTATTGTATTTTCTTAATAAAAAGGGTTAAAATAGGGTTTCTCTATCTAAAAAATATTTGTTGTTAGTTCTGGGTAATGCATAGTCTGTGGCAATGCCAGAGATTCATATAAACACATATAATATTTACTTGCAAATATTTATTTAACAGATGTTAAGTCTTAAGTAATGCCTATACTATTGTGGTGACTCCATTTTTGCAAATTTCTTGGAATGTCACCGCTGAATTATATTACACAAAGGTTAGAGGATTTGGCATAAAGTTTACAAAAATTGGAATTTTTTATTATTCAGTTTTTATTGATAAAAAATTGATGTTATACAAAAATGCTCAGTAACAAAAAAAAACTGAGATATGACAACAAATCTTGGCAGCAAATTAATGAAATCTTTAGATATGCAAAAAAGTGTGGCTACAAAATTTCAGAAATAGTGAAAAGGTACATTTGTAATTCCATGCTATAGAAAAAAATGGCGGAAAAGACGCCTGAGGAATGGCAACGTATAATAATTTTAGCGAGGTCGGTCTCTAGACGTAATTTAGTAAAGATTGTGGAATGTCGAATGAGTGGGAGGGAGAGGGGGGAGTTAGTCACTGCGACTTTAAAGATCTATTGTGTCCTCCTTTCTTGAGTTAAGTATTTCTTCCTTGAGTTAACAGTAACTCATCATACAGTTTATAACTCATCATACTTGCGGATTTTCCTGTTGTAGGTAGGACAAAGTTCCAATCCTCCTGTGACAACAGACGTTCTTCCTCCGTGGGTATACACCTTCCCACGGTTGGGGGAGAGTGTATACCAACCTGTACCCAACAGTATACCCAACCCTCCGTGTTCTTCACAGTCGAGGAGATTGTCTCCGGCTGAGGTACCCGTGAGGTGGAAGCTGGAGGATCTGTCTCCATTTTTTCCACCTCTTTAACTTGGTTTCTATGTAGACCTGATCCCGAATCTATAATAGAGGATATATCCTTCTTTCTCTATTGCCTTCTTGGATTTGAGAGCAATTCCTATTGTGAGGACCTGACCATGACCCTCCTCCCTCGAGTTGATGACTCGCCAACTCGATGTCCTTACATTGGAGTTCTGAACCTGGATAAAGGCCCAACAGGTAGGTGGGGTGTTTCCCCTTGATCCTCGGCAGAAACATCGTGATGGTTGGCCTTAACAGCAACCAGCCCGGGCCCTTGCTAATTCTTAAGCTTTATAGAAAGATTAAAACTACACCATATCAAAATCATTTTTAATCAATATAAAAATACAACATTCTTAAAGCCAAGTTATATTAAGCGCCATTCAAAAATAAAAAAGAGTGCGGGCCAAATAATGATGTTAAAATCACCATTGATTGTCATTCTCCAGCGGTCTTTGACGCCGTTTACTTTTGATTGTATGGTATATTTCTTGTTACATAACTATTGAATATCAGTTTCTGTTTATATCACATTATACAGGGTGCTACAAATTCGAGGTACGAGCATCGGTATCTCGGAAACCGTAATAGATACGAGGATGGTTAAATTGGGGCAAAGTTGCGCCTTGGGCTGTTCACTAAGATGCCATCAAAAATGTTTTAAAAATTTCAAGGATTGCTGGGTTTTTTTGGAAAAAACGGATTTTTTTGAAAACTAATTTTATTTTTACCTGTCGTTACTTTTTAGAAAATCAAAAAACTAATTGGACATTCTCATAGCCACTTTATTAGGACTATCTGTATTTTTAGATTTTAAAATCAGCTGATAATTTGTGAGATACAGAGGCCAACTTAATTTTTTTAAATACGGACCTGCATTTTTTATTTCAGATTTTGAAAGAACTCAATCTCCCCAGTACAATGGTATGCCACACTTTATACTTTTTTTGTTTTGAGTATCTTAACACCAACAAAACTATTTAATTATTATTTAAAAAAATTTCAAGTCCGACTCTGTTTTTTAAATTATTATTTAATCTGATTATATTCATCGCAACAATATTGATCAGTGCTCATTAACATTGAATAAGGAAAATTGAGTCAATTGAAAGATTCAAATAAATAATATCCAGATCAGCAATTTAAAGATATTATTTTTAACTTTTCTTATTGTGAATTTGAAATTCTCAGTGTACGATCTAATAATTTGCATAATATTAATCGTAGTTATTATGAATAAATTAACTTCTACAAACTAGTTTCTAATGCTTTACACAGTCTACATGTTCGAAAGGGTTACCACCCTTTTTTTTCCACAATAAGGGGCCGACCTCTGCCGGAAACACTGCGACCTGTGAGGCCTATTGTGTTTGTCCCCTTTCTATATCTGCACCCATTCTCCTATCCCTGTGCCTTGCACTAACTTATGCAGGTCCTTGATAGGATGGGAACATAGTTCCTCCGGTTCTAGCCTAGCTTTCCCAAATAAAAAGTGTCGCTTGCGATCCAGAGCCTCGCAGTGACATATTATGTGCTCCGCTGTTTCAGGATCTTTATCATTATCTTTTCACATCGTTACCACCCTTACTATTGCACAAATTTATTTATAGCTTTTGAATAGATCTTCTTATACTTTTGAATGCATTTTGTACTCTTTATTGTAACTGCCGAGATGTGTTAATTTCCCTTTTTTATAAAATTTGGACCTGTCGAATTACTTGACGTCATCATACTGCTCTACCATTTCCAATCCATCTTCCGGGGAAATGATTTGATTGTTTATATTACATTTTATTATTTTATTGCATTTGATTTTCCGTATCCAACCCACGTCATTGTTAAGTTTGAAAGCTTATCAATATTGTAACGATGAATATATTAAATATTAAAAAAAACAGAGCCGGACTTGAAATTAGTTTAAATAAATTGTCCAAAAAAATAAATTATTTCCAAATTTCCAAAACAAAAAAAAAAAATTAAGTGTGGCATATCATTGTACTTAGGAGAGCGAGTTCTCTCAAAATCTAAAATAAAAAATGCAGGTCCGTATTTAAAAAAAAATAAGTTGGCCTCTGTATCTCACAAATTATCAGCTGATTTGAAAATCTAAAAATACTGTCAGATAGCCCTAATAAAGTGGCTATGAGAATGTGCAATTAGTTTTTTTGATTTTCTAAAAAGTATCGACAGGAAAAAATAAAATTGATTTTCAAAAATATCCGTTTTTCCAAAAAACTCATCAATCCTTGAAATTTTTAAAACTTTTTTGATGACATCTTGGTGAACATCCCAAAGCGCAACTTTGCACCAATTTAACCATGTTCGTATCTATTACGGTTACCGAGTTACCAATGCTCGTACCTCGAATTTGTAGCACCCTATATATACTCTTATATTACTCTTATTATATTATACATACTCTATGTTGCTTCCAACAAAGGGCTTAACATTTTCCATAGATAAATAACTTATACATTTTCTTCTCTTACAAGTTGTTTTTCAAAATAAAGTTACTAATGTCAAAATTAAATTTATCTCAGGTCAAACCATTTATAAAAACTTTAGCAAAAATGTAATTCTTTTATCGAAATACATTATAATCTCGTTTTAAAATAGTGCAAAAAAGACGAACAACTCTATGCTGTTGCATCTCGCTTTCAGATAGTTATCCATACTTTAGAAAGTAGTTCTATGTGTTTTTTCAGCGAAAATAGTTTTTCTAGGGAATTAGCTTTCATGTTCAAACGGTTAATTAGCTTCGTTTAGCTGTTTTTTTTTACAAAATAATGGCCTGAGTAAATAAATCTCCAAGTCGAAAATCTAGACTGCCAAGTTGAATGTACGACCAGGACACATCATGATAGTACATCAAGTCCATTGGACTAAACTGTACAGGATGTCAAAGATCAACAGTCGATGTCGGTTAAATAGAGCAAAGTTGCACAATGTGACTCTGATCAAAATGTCACCTTAACACATATTTCTCTAAAAATTCTGAACAAAAAACAATATTTGCAATTTTGTTTTTATTCTTTTATGACACTATGAACAAATATAAGAAAATAAATTACACATTTTCATTGCTACTTTTTTTTGTTCTACAAGAGGGTGTTATCAGATTTTCATCATCATTTTTTTTTTAATACGGTCTTGTCTTTTCAAAAAGGACTTTAAGAACTTTTAAGGTCCCAAAACCAATGATGTATCCACACTTAAACTTGATTTGCATGCCACTTTTCATGCGTAAATTTCCACATACGATCTTTCTCCGTTTTACTCCAGCATCAACGGAGAACAATAACGGACGTAATGGACACTTTTTTAACAAATTTAATCTAACCCTAATAAAAATATAATAGTACAAGAGATAGCAATGTCGGGAAAACGATAATTTTAAGAAAGATGTTTTTTTAATATATCTTCTGTTATGCTCGCCTGTGCTCTCCTGACCAAAGTGGGGACCGTCTGGTTGCCGGTAGACTACTGCGGTTCACTACTGCGCATCACATCTGTACAGGGTATCCCATTTTCGTGTGGTTTATAGGATTTCTCGTTTATGAGTTATTTTTCTTTTTTATGAAACTAAATATGCTACACATGTTTGTTCTAGCCTCCTTATTAGTTCCTGAAATACAAGGCGAATTTGTGATGCGCAGTAGTGAACAGATGTTGAATACAGATATGATACAGTTGGTTAGGTTAGGCAGCCAGACGGTCCGCACTCTGTTCAGGAGAGCATAGCAAAATATATATTAAAGAACCAGCTTTCTTAAAATTCTCTCTCACGTACCCCGGAAGCGTCAACAAAACGGGCTTTAGCTGCCCTCCAGCTCTAGCCTCAGGTCTCACCTAAAGGTAAAAACAGCGAATCGTTAGTGGTTGACATGTATATAAGATGATAGGATGAGATATGTACATGCAATCACAAGCAAATCGTATATCCGATGACCGGAGGCATGAAAATGCAATAAATTTAAAAACTGCGTAATTTTCTAATTAACCGAAGTCTTTAAATTCAACCAATAAAATTAATATCGTTTCATCGTGTCGTCGGATAACGGATGCATGAAAATCAAGCCTTATT